CAACCACCCAAACTCCCCGAACCCACTGATCCAAACGCCTGGGGCCTCCGGCCTCGGCGGATATTGTTGTTCTTATTCTGATGATCGTCGTTTTTGTGATTCTTGTTGTCAGTTGTTATTGTTACGATTATTACTATTATCACGGTCGTTGTTGCTCTTGGTACTATTTTACTGTTGTGGTCATGGCTATTTTTGCTCTTGCTACTGCTATTGCTACTACTATTCTCAGCCCGGGAGCCCTTTGGCGCAAAGGTCCTCAAGGCTTTACACTTTACACGGCTCCATGGGGTACAGGAGGTGAGGGTTGAGGAACGGCTCATCTAGCGCTTCAGGTGTTCAAGGGGCTTTAGGATTGCAGGGCTTAGGAGGGAGTATCGAAAGAGACTTCGACTCGCTCCGCCCAGGGTTGAAAGCCATAACCCTAAACCCTAGACCCTAAACCCTCTCAAAATCACCAATCCCTAAACCCTCAGCCACAAACCCGCTAAAAAAAAAGCCCGAACCCTAAACCCTAGACCCTAAACCCTCTAAAACAAAGCCCAAACTGCCCTAAACCCGAAGCCACAAACCCCTAGAAAACAAGCCCAAACCCTAAACCCTAGACCGTAAACCCTCTAAAGCAAAACCCAAACTGCCCTAAACCCGAAGCCACAAACCCCTAGAAAAACAAACCCAAACCCTAAACCCTAGACCCTAAACCCTCTTAAAAGGAGGCATCTCTCGGCCCCGGGTCCTGAAACTCCGAGAAACCCCGAGCTTTGTGCAGCTTGGGAGCTGAGGATTGAGTTGATGTCGTCAGTGAGCAGCCGGGGGCCCCAGACTTCAACTTGATTTTATAATATATGTACATACATATTGATGTATAAACAAATATATAAATAAATATTAAGTAAAAATAAATATACATAAATAAATAAATAAATATAAATATATATATACATACATATATATATATATGTATATTTATATATTCATATATGTATAGAGAGGTTTTTCAATGATACAAATAAGTAGGTAAGTGAATAAAAAATAAATACATACATATATATATATATATTTAATGGCTGCCGCCACTGCCGCCGACCCCTTTAAACGTGAACAGACAGCACTGCTAGCCACTACAGGATCAGGACAGACTTGGGCTCAAAGGCATCCTAGGGTCTCCGTGCATCTGCGTGGGCACGAGCCAGAAGACGCAGGCAGGCGGTCGCAGTGGGTGGTGAGGGTGTGGGGGGGTCCGGGCACGCATTGGCAGCTTTTAAATACTCTCTAAACACATACAAAAACCTCTAAAAGTGCTGGAAGCGGTGTAAGTGGTGGGAGTGGTGGTGGCAATCCGAATGGTGTGCGGGGCGGTGAGGGTGCTGGGGGAGGGGGGGG